TTGCAATTGAATTGAACATAATTTTCCAACCACCGTTGGGTGGTCAAGTGGGTAACTAGGACTTTTGAGTGTATTACTCAAGAGATCTTGAATTCGATTCATCTTGACCTAGAGTAAAGATAGTTATTGGAGCTCTTACTTGATTCCGATCAATAGTTTCAGGGTCTCAAGATTGGTTACAAGGTCACTGGAGAGCAGTTGGGCTGTGCATCAATTAGTCTGACACCTTGATCATAAAAAAAAAAGAAAAAAATTAAAAAAAAAAGGTTTTCCTCCAAAATGGAAGATGTCAACTACATTATTATTTATTTTGATAGGGATTAAAGTAACACAAGAGGATGAAACTAAAACTTTCTTAAAACGGAAAATGTCAGTTCTTATATATCATTAAAGTGTCACTTTCTTAATACTGGAAAATATGACAGTAACATCCAATGCTCGTCCGTCAATATTCTAAATCATTATAATATCAATCACATTTTAAATTACTTTTGTCAAAATAAACAGTATTTTTTTTTTTTTTTTTAACGACGGGGGGTCAGCTAGCTTACGTATAATTCAATTAATCTTTCAGGATCCTAAAACTACTGATTTGGTGAGAACTCCAGTAGTTACCCCTATTATCAACTAAGGAAAGACTCGAACTCGAACTTAGATCTCTGAATAATACATTTAAGAGTTTCTGTCGAACCATTCGATCACCCAGAGGTAATTTAATAAAGGACAATATTACATTTACAACCTAATTTCTTTTTAGTGTATATATATATTTTTTTTTTCTTTGGTTATCGATAGTGTTAGGGCCAGCTTACATACATCTCGACAATCTCCTGACCCCGAAAAAGGGATTCGAAACAAGACAATCCCTGCGGTCCATAACCAACAATATTAACAACCGTTCTTGTGATTCGAACTTGAGATCAAAGGGGAGCAAACCCCTTGGCTTAAGTTTTTACCATTCGGTCAATCCATTGTTGGTTTTTTAGTATATATATTACCAATACATTCCAAAACAAAATTACAAGGCTAAAAATAATTTATTTGATCAATGGTTTTGCATCATCCTAAAATGATATAATTTCTTGTAATATATTATAATTAATTTTGAAACACATTTATTCAAAAATAATTATAAAAAAACATATAAAAAGTATTAATTAAATAATATAAAGAGGATAACTTGGTACATGGTGTCAATCATTAACATAATCTTTTGTACAAATAAAAAATTTTAATAACTTTAAATCTTATTTAAAAAACCCATTAATCAAATAAAAAGAAACTATTAATTTACATATCATCAACTATTTAATCAACTGAAACTATGGCTTTTCTTTTTCTTTTCAATACCTTTTCTCAATTGTTTATATAATTAAATAATAAAATAAACTATATATAAAAATAACTATTTTTTGCCTTTTTTTTTTTTTTTTACTTATTTTTAAAACAAATTCCCTTATTTTAATATTAAAAAGTCTATAAATAAATAACTCTCTGTAGTGGAGCTTTAAGCCAACAAAGAAAACACAGTGCATAGTGAATGTTTTCTTCAGTCAATGTTAACGATGATGTTCAATTTGAGTTTATGTGTCTTCCTCTTTCCTTGTGTGAAGAAGAAGCCCTCAAAACAGCTTCGTTTTCCAGGGAGAAAAAGCTCAAAAACCCCTGAAAGTAAAGAGATGTTTGCAGGTGAAAATGGGTTGGAAGGAGACCCACGATTGAAGGCCATTAAAGAAGCCATTAGAGTCGTTCCTCACTTCCCAAAACCAGGTCCATGAATACCATTTTCTTTCTTTGTTCGTTTTGAAACTTGCATGTTTCTGTTAATATGAGTTGAAAGTTTTTGTTTTTGTGTTTTTGGAAGCTAAAGTTTTTTTTTTTTTTTTTTTGGTGGGTTTGTTTTTGGTAGGAATTATGTTTCAAGATATAACTACACTGTTACTTGATCACAAGGCGTTTAAGCACACTGTGGATATTTTTGTTGATCGTTATAGAAATATGAGGATCGATGTGGTAGCTGGTACTCTCTCTTTCTTTGTGTCTCTCTCGTTTTTGTGTGTATAAGACTCAGAGTTTCAAGTACACAGGCACAGTTTTATTTATTGTGGTGATTGGTGATTAGTGTTTGCTTTTGGTTGGCACTTTCTGCGGATCTAATTTAAGGTGGAGAAATTAATATATGTCATGTTTGTGGTTGTTTCCTGTTTTTATCATTGTAAAGTGGAAATTTTTGTAACTTAGTGGATGTGATAGGATTTTTCTTTTAAGAAAGATTTATTTTTTCCTGTTGCAGTTGGGTTTGAAGGAATAACATCTATTGAACTATCTTATTTTATTGTATTTGAATGGATTCTTCCTTAGAAAGTGATATTTTTTAGTCTTTTTATCTAGTACATTGTCTGATTGTTTTTTTTTTTTTTTTTTTTAAAATTTCATTGAACTGTTAACTGGGTTAAAATGCAGAAGTTAAAAGTGATTTGGGTTCAATTGAAGTGGCATTAGAACCTAATTGGGTTGATCTTAGAGCTTTGGCTCCGTCAGGGGCTGTATTTTCAATCAATAATTTGTGTCCTCTAATCGATTCATCTTCATTGAATTCAAAAAAAATTTCCTTAGTAGTAATGTTCAAAATTTGGTGAAACTTACAAAAGTCATGTTGAACTATCAACAAAGTAGAAAGTTGGCTTTGCTGAAAATGTGGCTTCATAAATTGCTAATTCATGAATTGTGGTTCTTTTGTGGAACTGTCTTTGAGTTTGATTTGCTTGAGTTACCAGTTTGAGTTATGCATATTGCTGACAAAAATTTCAATTTGTTGTTGTTGCCTCTCAACATGGAGAAAATTAATTTGCTTTCTTTGATCTATTTGGCATTATTTGTTGTGGCTGCTCACAAAATTCTAAGTTACATTCCAGGATGCGAGGCGAGAGGATTTGTGTTTGGCCCTCCAATTGCCTTGGCTATCGGTGCCAAGTTTGTTCCTCTACGTAAACCTAGAAAGTTACCAGGTATGTTGTTCTATATGGCTGTGGTACTAGTTGAGTGTAACATTTTTCTAGTCTGTGTTGATTTATTGGTTACCTTAATTTAGCAACTGTTACTTAATGGCATTATTCGCTTTACATTACTGATGAGGATAAACTTTATAATTGCATTGCTATTATTAGTTGTGGAAAAGGATTATAAGAGATGAAATATTATTTTGTTTCGAAGTGAGATTCAAACCTTCTACATGAATTGAGTGAAATATTTCTACAGGAGAAGTCATCTCCGAAGCATACACACTGGAATATGGAACAGATTGTTTAGAGATACATGTTGGGGCTGTTCAAACTGGAGAACGGGCTATAGTCATTGATGATTTGGTGGCTACAGGTGGTACACTCTGTGCAGCAATAAGACTATTAGGTGAGGTCTAAAGGTCCATATAGATTTTCTTTTTATGCTTTTTTATAATGCTTTCTTTGGCCTCATAACTGAATTTTTCGCAAATTGCAATTGCTCTTAATTAGAACGTGTTGGAGCTGAAGTAGTTGAATGTGCATGCGTTATTGGGTTGCCAGAGATTCAGGTAATGATTAGTTATTTTTAATATTTATGTCTTCTCGTCAATTACATCTCAAAACTTAGTTGAATTCCCTTTAAAAAAAAATGGCTGCTTCTGTTTCTACATCATGTGTTTTGGTACCTTTCATTATACTATCAAATTATTTTTGTTGCTTGGACATATGTCCATAACTTGGCGACTAATTGTTGCATAGCAGACTGAGCTCCTTGCATGTATTTGTTTATCGATAATGTTAATTCCCGGTATTCTTGGACCAAGTTAAGCTGGTAGATTTGGTCTTGGTTTAATCTTCAAGTTAAGATGGTGTAAAGTTTACTCGAAAGTTGAAGAAATTTAAAATTTTTACATTATCTTATTTTGATTGTTCACATTATGGTTAACAATTGCAGTACTGCTTTTCTGCTTACAGTCATGACAGACCAACTAGAGTCTTGAACCCTGGTCATGATAAACAAACTAAATTAACTATTGTATTGAAATTTGGAATGCGCATTTGTCCAAAGTTTCACATCATGGAAAAACGAAGTTGTTTTGTCAAAGTTAGTGAGTGTTTATTTTCTTTCATGTTACTTCCCAGTCTCGATGCATGATCAAGTTTTGCCTAGCCATGAAGTATCTGTGCATATTTGAGGATTTGTTCACTTGGTATGTGCGGCTAATTACATGATATATTATGCTTTATATTTCTTTTTGTATACATATTTTGCAATGTCATTGTTCATCAAAGTATTGAAGCACTATAATGCTGATGCTGTCCTATTTGCCTAGACTTATTTTTGGTTTTGATTTCATTAATGGTCTTCATTAACAGTGTCTGACTATGCAGCTTACTCAAATGCTTGCACTTTTGCAGGGACAAAACAGGCTAAATGGAACGCCGTTGTACATGCTTATTGAGCCACGCCAGTAAACAAAAACTCTTAGACGAAGGAACAGTGTACACGAGACTTTTGTATTCGTGCTGTAAAAAATCGATGTATTAGAGAAAGTCTTTATTGATTTTTTTCTGCGTAAGCCATCAGTAGATATGAAATTTTGTTGTATATCTGGATATCCTCAGTTCATATATAATATTGCTTACAATTCTTGAAATGGTCCAACGCATTCTTGGTTCTCTTCTAAAATTAGCTTCGAAAGGAGAAATAGTTGGATTAAAAGGTCTGATGCTGATGAGCAATCACTAAAAAAGTAAGTTAATCCCCTGTTGAATTGATTGAACAAAATGTGGAAGAAGATTGCAGATGTAACATGAATGCATAAAAAGAGAGAATCTTCTGCAGTTCTTAAATTGATGAATGCAGGCGTGTTCCAGACAAATGCAATTTCATGCTACATTATATAAAGAAATCATATAAGCATGAAAAGAATTACTAGTATATACGAAAAAATTTGACAGTGGAATTTACATCAGATCAAAGAATAACTCTCTGACTCAAACATTCTTTATGATAATATTGGGTACAGGACGAATAACAGGTACTCCACAGAAGATAATTGCTGGACGAGGCCTGAAGGGGGGAAGAATCATAGGTTGAGAATAGCGAGGAACAACCATCTTCATACGTCTTCCAATACGAGTACTGATACCGTATAAACATCCAGTAAAAACTCCTTCTTGAAACCCCGGCATCATCTTCATCCTTGCAAAAACAGAAGCGGTTAGCAGACTGTCAGAACCAGCGTTATGAGCCGCGCCCTTCCTCTCCACGCCTAAGATCTTCGCCGCTCTACTCAATCCAATCTCACCACCCAATAACCCAGTACAGTGTTTTGCCATGAATTTTATATCAAACACGCACCCGAACACCATGGATGCCACCTCAACAAACTCAAACACAGTTCTTGGCATGGGTTTGTCCGTCAACAGTTTCAGAACATAGGCAAAATCATAGAGGCCATGGAAAGACACCCACTTTATGTTTCTGTGCCGTGACAGAATGTCCATGAATTTTGGTACAAAAACTTCGCTTGACAACCCATCCCTTCTGATTTTCTCAATATCAAGGCCGTTTTTCCTCAAGAAATCAATCGATTCTTCAGAATGTGCATCTTTCTCCGGATCAAAATCACTGAAATTGAACTCCCAAGTTGAACAGATAATACCGTTACCATCTGAAAGTGTGATACCCAGTTGGATAATCTTCGTCAAATCGACATTAAACTTCAAGTCATTGTAGCGCAGACACTCTGACGCATCTCTGGGAGTGTTTCGAAGGAAACCCGGAAACTCTGTGTCGAAAGAAAGGAAATTGAATCGGTTTAGACACTGATCGAAGAACGCCAGCTCTGTATCAACATTCGAACCCCAAACTTCTCTGATTTCTTCCATGGTCTTAGAACAGAGAACAAGAGAATGAATCTTTTCGAGTAATTTCGAAGACTAAACAACAAATTTAAAACACAAAGCAAGAGAGAATTGGTGAACACGAAGAGGGGAAGATTGAGGTAATGAAATTGAGAGCGAGAGAGTAGAAGTTTCCGATTTATTTTAAAAGAGGTAAGAAACGAAATCCGAATTTGAGAAGGAGAGAACAAATAGAGGAATTGTAGTCCTAATGAAATAGAAAGAGTCGGTTTTGTGAAGCAAAGTTTCCCGCTTTCGATTCCTATAGCCGTTGAGAATTTTGAATTAAAACCGGGAAATTTAACGGCTTCATACCTGGAGCGAATTTTGAATTAAAACCGGGAAATGTAACGGCTTCATACCAGGGGCGTATTTTAAAATCCAAGGGAAAATCTTATTTAGATACTAACTTTGTAAAATTTGATCCCCACACGTTTAGGAATCTAACACTTACGGCTGTTATTCACCAGTAAGACATTTTTTCAAAATTGCCCACTAAAATAATGAATAATCATTATATTGATTTTTCAAAGTTATATTTAAAATAATTACTTTGATTCATTTTTTTGTTTTGATAATCGGTGTTTGGACCAGTATACGTGGACCTCAACTAATTTCCTAAAACCTTAGAACTACTAACTAAGTAAGAACTCTAGTGATTACTAGAAACTGAAAAGGGATTTGAACTCAGGATCTTTTGAGTAATATACTCAAATGTCTTTATCGAACAATTCGGCCACCTAGAGGTAGTTTGATTCATTTAGTTCAATTATGTGTGAAAAAAATCAAGATACTCTCTTGATAGATATGACAAAACTCTAATTTTAATTTAGATTAATTATTGCAAATGTAATTTTTTTAATTTATTATTATAAATATAATTATTATTTCTTATTAAATTATTAATTATTATTTAAACATTGAGTAAACAACTTTTGTCCACCCAAGGTTTGCCTTAATGACACTTTTTTCACTCAAAAAGTTTCAAAATACCATTTTCACACCCAAGGTTTATATTTCGTTAATACTTAAAATACATTTCACTTTTTCAACCGATGTTTGGCGAGTTACCAGGAGCCAAAGTAAAAGGTGTTTTGCAGAGTGGAGGCCGGTAGATCTAATAGTGGTGATTGATTGAATATTCGTCATCGGAATCAACTAGAAATTAGCTTAGAATAGGAAACCCTAACCTTACGATAACCGATAATCGATGAGAAATTAGGGGCTGGAGTAAGAGGGATTTTTTAGAGAGGATATCGGAGGTTTAAATGGTGGTGACAAAGAGAGTTTTCGCCGTCGAAATTGGCTTTGGGTAATAACGAAATATTAACTTTAGGTGAAAAAGTGGTATTTTGAAACTTTTAGACGGGAAAGTGTCATTAAGGCAAACCTTGGGTGGGAAAATGTCATTTACTCTTAAACATTAGTAAATACTTTAATATTAGGTGTAAGTATTATGTGATAAAACTTGAACCGGAGCTGAGTATTTCAGCCCATTGTATGGCCCAGGCCTAGCCCAGGTAGAGTTTTTTTTGGGTTTCCTATGAAACCCTCTCCACAATAACTAAATCAAAACCTCTCACAGAAAAGGAAACAAAATTCCCGATTCAACTTTGAGTTTTATTTTTTTATTATTAATTTATTAATTAAATGTACAATTTTATTTTTTTATTTTCATTTAAATTGTAATATTACAATCAATTATCATGTTACATGAAAAAGTTTGACCAAAATGACTTTTGTACCCTTAACTTCAATTGGGTTTACGTTAATGGGTTGTTATATTAACTAATACTTTTAGACCGTTGACACTTGATTCACTTTATTTATTTTTTAAATAAAAAACCCTAAAAACAATTTTTTATTTTTATTTATTTATTTATTTTAAAAAAGGCACCGCTTTTATGTTTAACTAGTCAATTGAACTACAAGCACAAAAAAAGAAAAACACTCAACATAAAACCTCAGAGGAAAGAAAACCTCTCCCAAAAGAAAGAACCAAAACCTCTCCCGGACGAAACGAATCGTTTTGATTCAAGTTTAGATTTCCTCATTAATTTATCCATAAATCAAAATCCGTCGAAACTTCTCGATAATCGAAATCGAGCGATGGCAGCCGCTGTTTGTGGAAGTAAACGATCCTTCTTCGAAGATATTCCCGCTTCGCCTCCGGTTTCCAAACGCCTCCGCTGCGGTTCCGCTTCTCCGACTAAGCTCACGCCTCCGCCGGCAACGCTCCTCGATCAGCTCCGAGCTGTTTTTCCTCAACTGGATCCTCAGGTATTGATCTTTTGGATTTCTTGATGTGTACGGATAGGCTTAGAAATGACAGAATCTTTAATGAGTTGTGTGATTTGAAATTGTTGCGATACGACTAATTGCCGGATTTTTATTTATTTATTAATGGTTTAATATGTATTGTGTCTCTTTATAATGTATAAAGATAGGTATTTGTATGTGTGGAATAGGTAGTTAAGTTAATGATTAGATTGGATGGTGAAGAAATGAGGAAAAGTATTGAGACTTTGAGTGGTTATCATGTTCTTTTGTGATATAATTGAAATTGTTACATAGGATTAATTATCAGAACGTTCTGTATGTATGTATGTCAGTATGTATGCAGGGATGCTTGTTGGAGGATTGATATGATGGTTTGATGTACGCGGTTGACATGTTTGTGGTCAATTAACATGTTTACACATAGGTATTTTTATCTGTATGTATATGTACTAATTTGTTGATTTGACAATAAGTTAATGGTTTGATTGGATGGTGAAGAAACTAAGGAAAAGAAATTGTAATGTTAAGTAATTTTATCTTGTTTTGTTGTTTTCGTGGTTCTCTATGTGTGGTGTATGTGATTTGATGTGGTTTGGGTTGATGTGGTTTTGGTTGATGTGGCTTGGGTTGATGGATCGTTGTGGCTTGGGTTGATGGATCATTAACACTTTTGCTTTTGTTAGTATTATGGATTGTTTGGTTGTGAAAGTATGGTCTTTCTGAGCTCTTTCTTTTACAGGCTTTTTCAAAAGAAGGGTAATTGTGAAGTACATCATATTTAATGCTTCAGTAGAGTTTGTATATGTCCATCTAAGTGCTCATATTTTTGTTGATATTACCTTGCAGCTTCTAGAGAGAGCTCTGGAAGAATGTGACAATGATTTAGATTCTGCAATCAAGAAGGTGAATGAGTTTTGTCTAGGAACAGATGAGGAAAAGTTGGACTCTGCAGAAGAATTAGATGCCAGTGCTAATCAAGGTATGTGGCTACTTATATCATATTCAAGTCTATCAATCGAGGGTCAGTTTGTCTCTGTTTATATATTATGTATATCTTCATTCACTTCTCTTGAGTTATGTAATCAGAAGTACTGTTAAGTGTTTCACCAATATTCAGTTGTATTTTCATTATCTTCATTATTGTGCATGCTTTAAATTAACTCTTGTTCTCCTCCTCAGTGGAAGCCTTGTGATGATGTAAACTGTTGGTAATGAAACACATTCTTGTTATTGTTTGTTACCCCTTCTCTGTGTGCCTGATGATCATGCATTGTATTCACTGGTTTCACAGAGGTTTTGGTAGTTCCAAGTTCTTAGTTTGCATATTTAACTAAGTATATCTTCTTTAATCTTTTAGCTGCCTCACTTATGTTCTTGTGCATGTTTTTGTTAGTTTGTGCAGAGTGAGGTTTGTTTTTTTGTTCTGTTCCTAACTTGGAACAGTTTTTTTGGGTACATTTGAATGTGAGGTGAAATTTGTCTTTTCTTCGCAAATCATGGGTTTCAAGGTGCTATTGATCTTACTCAATCTCAGTGATGTCATAGTTTGAGTAGGTGTTCCTTTGAATAATTTGTTATTTTAAACCGACAATAGTTAATGCCTCCCAATGGAAAACATGATTGCACTTAGAACTGTTTAATCAGATGTTTCTTTTGTGTGTCTTCTTTAATCTGATTTTTCAAGTTCTTGGTATCTCTTAAGGAGAAAAAAAAGGGACTTACATCCTCTTCCAAAATTGACAGGTAATATTGCCATGGCTGAAAATGTTGCTGCTTCTAACTGTCCATCAGAGCCAAACAAGCTTCCAGTTGATGGTGCAGAATGGGTGGACTTGTTTGTTGCAGAAATGATGACTGCTACTAATATGGATGATGCCAAAGCCCGTGCCTCAAGAGTGCTGGAGATTTTAGAGAAATCCATTGTTTCACGTACTGCTGGTGAGGCAGCACAAAGTTTTCAGAAGGTTTGTATCTGTTTCTAAATTAATCTAAATGACTATCTTTTTTCTGTGCTGTTAGGGGTTGTTAGTGCAGTTTCGCTGTGATCCCTGGAGATAGAATACCCAACTTTAATAATGGTGCTGATATAGTTATATTAGTCATGATGTTTGTAATTGACAAAATTCCATGAATACTGTGACATCTGAACTGTATAATAAATCACAAAAATACTGTTCCTGAATCTCTAGCATAGATGCTGTTTTGTAGTGATGAAAGCACTTGTAATGAAGTTATGATTTTTCTTCTAGGCTGTTGTTTATTGTGTGCTTTAGTTGCATATGCATTTTTTATATACTTATATTGTTATGATCTTTCATTTGTCAGGAAAATATGATGCTGAAGGAACAAATTGAAATATTGATCAGAGAAAATTCTTTACTCAAACGTGCTGTCGCTATTCAGCACGAACGCCAGAAAGAGTATGATGGTAACAACCAAGAGTTGCAACATTTGAAACAATTGGTCTCTCAGTATCAGGAACAGTTGAGAACCCTAGAGGTAAACAACTATGCCTTGACAATGCACTTGAGACAGGCTCAGCAGAGCAGTTCAATCCCTGGACGATTCCACCCCGATGTCTTCTAATAAAGAGTAAGACTGGAGAAATGGACGTTTAGTCTAAGGCAATAGCGTCACGATGAATGAACTATAATGTCATATGATTTTATATTATGTTGCCAAAAGGTTAATCAAGTTGTTCATAGATATTGTCGTCTTTATAATGTCTTGTAGTTCAAAAGTACCTGCTGTGAATCAACTTACTTTGTAGCTTTCGCACAGAAAATTTGTCAATCAATTTCCAGTTTATTAAGAAACTTCTAAAGTTGAAATCAATTTTGTCGGAATTATTTGATTATGTAGCCCTTTTAACTTTCTGCGTATACTTTCCTGTTGAGTCCCTCTTAAAATTTGGGATTTATCACTTTGTGTTGTCCATCAATTGCGCCTTATCTTGCATATAACAGTAAGATGAAATGCCATTTTGGGACTGTTCATGGTAAGCTGCTGCTTGTTGCTTCAATTTTTATCTTATCATTCCTTTTGTTTGGGTGTTTATGATGTGTTGAAGTCACTTTGGTTGGTTACCTAGAGTATTGATATTAGAAAGAACGAAGATTAGAAATATTGGGAATAAAATGTCTTATTACATGCATTTGAGAGGTGTTATATAAGGTTCATATTGTTTTTATGTGGAACGTGAGAATTGAGATTGTAAAATAGGACAATAGAAACTATTTTTGGGTGGTCGAGTGGTTTGATATATATTTTTGGATGTATTATTGAAGACTCTTGAATTTGAGTTTTTTTTTTTTTTTTTCTAATAAGAATAGTCACTAGAATTCTTACTCCACCAATAATTAAGGCTTTTAGGATAATAAAATTTGTATGGGTTGAGTAAAATTATTTAGCATAATGGCAATCAGTACAGCTCGTGTAAATTTATGAATATCTGTACAATTCTTTTACTAAAGGGAATACTTTTATTTTGAAGAATTATTAATTGAAAAGCATAATTTTAAGGCTGCGTCTATTTAAAATTGCGTTATTGATGTGTTGTCAAATCACTATTTCTACTATATGTATAGGATTATTATGAGAATTTGGATAATGTTTTCAAAAAAAAAAAAAAAAAAAAAGATAAAACAGTAAGATAGTCTCCCATTCGACAATTTTGTAAAATAATGTGAATAAAATTGTTTTGAAAGATTAACAAATAAAATTATGTTTGATAAATGAGAACATAATGTTATTTTTTTCTTGGTTTCAAGATCATAGAACATCGTTTTTTCATAATAATAAGCTTTATACTAGTAGTAATATTAATTAAAATTGAAAAATCATTATAAAAAAAAAAAATTATATTTTAAGATATATTACAATTATCAAATGTATTATAATTATTTTTGTTTTTTTTTTACGTGCTCAAAACTCATATCTTACTATTTTGAAAAAAAAAAGAAAAAAGAAGAAGAATAACCACTACTAGGTGCAGTGTTTTAATAACCAACATAGGGTAAAACTAGGTGAAGTGATCAGGTTTCAGGTTATCCAGTTTAACCGGTTTGACTGACGGGTTAAACGGATGTCCCAAAGTTTAAATATAACAAAAACATTCTTAAAAATAACATATGACTCCTGATAGGTTTAAAATCTTGCAAAACACCCCAAATACTAACATTGGCGTCGGCAAGCCAAGGCAATATAAGGCTAGTTTTTGGCAATAATAACACTCTCAACACCACAAAAACACTCTCCTCATCCTCTGAAAAAAACCTATATCACCTTCCCTCGATTGCCTCGCCAATCGACGGCAACAATTGGTTTAATTTTACGATTTTCAGTCGATTAACTCATTAGAAATACGTTCGTCGCCACCATTGAACTCATTGGCCCTTCCTTTCAAAAGCCCGAATATTCCGACCTCAATTGTTCATCGATACCGTCTCAATTTCTAGGGTTTTTTTTGGTGAATAGGAAAATTGATACCCAACTAGATGAAGGTCCTAAGTCCCGATTGAACCGATCGGGGGGTCGAGTTTTAAAACACTATTGGGTGATAGAGTGGTCAGCTAAATTCTTGATATGTTACTAAGAGGTCTTAGGTTTGATTCATCTCCACCCCTAGCCCCGTTGGGTTTTTTTTTTTTTTTTTTTTTTTTTTTTTTTTTGTTTCTGTGAGCAGAGAAAAAGTACAGGTTATTAGTATAATTAAAAACTGCAGTATGTATAATTATGTGTCAGTGTGGTTTAAAATGGCACCACGCATCTCTTGGCTGTCCTCCCATCATAAAACCCAACAATATTAACTTTACCACTTTTCTTCTTCTTCTTCTTCTTCGCCTGTCTAACACTAAATTATGACGAAATCAAACATTATTTTTCTTCTCTTAGACAACTTATCAAACACTTTAATTGCATTTCTTTCTTTCATTTCAATGGCTTCAACTTCCACTACTCTTTCTCTTTATCCCTCTTCTTCTTCTCCTCTCAACTTCTTTCATTCAAACCATTCCGCTTCTTCTTCGTGTTTCTTCAATGGTATGACCCACCTCAGGTCCCACAAGAGCTTTGCTTCTGTTACTTTAACTGCATCTTCTTCTTTTCCGTTTGGTGGTTTGAAGCTCAATAATGCGAGGGGCTCTGCACCCCGTTTTGGCCTATATGTCGTGGCTGCTTCTGGTGATTACTATGCCACTCTTGGGGTTGCCAAGTCTGCCAGTAGCAAAGAAATTAAAGCGGCTTATCGAAAATTAGCTCGTCAGGTACTTAATTGAATTGCTTTGTTCTCTTTTCCTACTTGTCTGGTTGCTGAAAAAATGGAGGAAAGGGAAATTTTAAGTGGGTCTTCGAAAGGAATGCAATAGGTTTGCTGTATATGTCTTTTTTCCTATCTTCCTCATTGGTGATACGTTTGGTTGCTGAGAAAATTAGGAAAGGGAATGAAAAGAGATGAAGTTTTAGAAAAGTTATAGTAGATAATAGAAAACGTGAAGTGGTTATTGAATTTTAAATGAAAAATTTTGATTTTTTAAGTATTGCGTTATTGTTTTTTGAGTGGTTTCTCGGTAACCAAACAGAAAGAAAAAGAACATAGAAAACTGTTAGTGAGTATTTTAAGAAAAGATAAGATAAAGTCAAGTGGATTTATAATTTATCCTAAAACTATTGAATGCTTTCTGTGTTCATTTTGCTTTTACCGTCCTTCTTGGATCAAACGTAACTTGACAAAAAGTTGATCATCCTTTGTTTGGTTGTCTGTGTTTTTTGTTTCATTTTTTGAAAGCTTTAGTCGTTATGGGCGTACTTTGGGATTTCACATCTCATAAATTGTGCTGTGTGGAACTTTATTTGATTATTTGATCACTAAGGACCTTGTTTTGCAATTTTGCAAATTGAAGTGTTTGGCATTCTTTGGGCTAATGGCATTTTAGAGGAAGAGTGTGAAAGGGAATAACAACAGTGTTTCTATTTGCGGTTAAATTTGGCGCTTAAACTGTGTACAATCTTTCTCTTTTCTCAGGAAAAAAAAAAAAAAAAAAATTGATTTTTGATTAGAATTGTTCATCTAAAAAAAAAAAAAAAAAAATTGATTTTTGATTAGAATTGTTCATCTTGTTTTTCACAATTTTTTCATTGTGCTGATAGTTAGCTTAAACATTGTACATTCACTATGGGTGTTCATGTACCTTATGTGCTTGTAATTATACCAGGGCATTTAATGAAAAAGAAATTCTAATAGTTTGGATTTGCTGCAAGAATACTATTTTGCAATTAAATGAATGTATACCTTACTTTATGTACCTTGAAGACTAGATTGGTAGTTTGGTCTATCTGGTGTTCTTTTGCCTTATTTTATCTGCCATAATTCTGGTTCAAATCATTTCCTTCCTTGAAATACTTTGTGTAGAGGAGCAGATTTGTGCTTCTCTGTTGATGTTTGCCAATAATCTTTTGATATCAGTCAAACTGACCGCACAATTTATTTCATTTTTTATTTTTTCCCCGTTATCCTAACTTCTTGCTGTTTATGTTAATTTCAAGTACCACCCTGATGTCAACAAGGAACCTGGAGCTACAGAGAAATTTAAAGAGATTAGTGCTGCCTATGAGGTATGCATAAGAATTTCAAACCTATATATTGCTATAAATTTTTTGCATGAATGTATGATATCTAAAACAACATAATTGTGGAATCTTTCTGACGATAGTGGATGTATGGTTTAGGAGGTTGGTTCTAATTATTCATGTTAGGAAGGATGGCATTAAAAAAAAAATCGTTCGTGTCAGGGAGGATGGCTTTCACATTGTATATCTTCTAATTGACTGTTTCTGCTATTTCTTTTTTTAAAACGTTGTTTGGCTTAGATTTGGGTATACTTCTTATCTTCTTCATTCTACTTCACTAAAATCCTTTTCTTTTCTTCCTTTCTTGAAAATTTTAATTTAGGATATAAGACTTGTGGCTGTATGTTGATCAAATAATAGTTGGAAACTTGGCTTTGAATCAACCTGGATTTAATATTTAGTAGTGAAAGTCGAACATGAAGCTGGATTCCTGGGCTTTAGGGGATGAGTTTGTTACTTGCTTGGAATTCAGGTTTCCGGAAGTTGAAACCTAGCTGCTGACCTGGGTCGCTAGGATGGTTTAATCAACATTCAAATTAATGTCCTTTGTAGAAATATATGATGCTATTTTTTATACAATCTTCAGTTTTTTAGCTAAATCAAGATCTTTTCTTCTTGTTGCTGGCATTAGGATTCAAGTATAGATATCGATTGGTGTGACTTCATGTGTCTGCTCATGCGGACATGAACGACATGGAGTATAGTTTTAACTAAAGTGATAGAAATTGAACCCCTGTCATTTCCTAAACAACCTGTAGTTCTCTATAAGTTGAGGATAAAACTATCATTAAAATTAATAAATGGGAATTCTTAATAACTTCTTGCTGCACAACACCAGTTTTTATTACTCATACTCTGTCAAGACTGTAGAGTTTATTACTAATGTTTAATTGAAATTCTGTGAATTTTTTTATCGAGAAAAGTATTTGTCTAGTCTGTGATGACATGCTCTAATCCGCAGGTTCTTTTATTTATTTGATTTTTGTTGTCCATTTCCTAATATGCCATAATTAAGTTCATTCTTGATAGTTTCTTGCAAAACGAAGAAACTTCCACTTAACTGATCGTGGACAAAATATATAAGGAACTTTGTCCATTATTCTTCTGCAATAGCAGCATTCAAAAATTCTAATATAAATGCTTGAATACGAAAGAATTAATCTGTTTAGTTGACGTATTTTACACACGGAAAACATATAATAACCTGTAGGCTCTCCTCACTGCCGGTAAGATTCATGGATGAACAACAATGCTTAATTTACCCCACCCTGTTACCTGTATCATTTTCCATTTACAATTTTATCCTCATTTAATACAAATTAAGGGTTCTTTAGTAAATTTGTGGGGTTTATTTAGCATAGTTTTCAACCATTATTATTAATTTGGAAAAAGTATTGAAATTTATACCTTTGTTCTATGAAACCATGCTGAAATGTCTCCTGGTCAAATTTGGCTAGATGATAAATTTTGATGGACTAGGTTTTGGATTGATGATACAAAGTATGTAAACTGTTTGAAGCCCTCATAAAACTTCTTCTAGATTTTTCTTGGAGCGTGTAATTTCTTTTAAGTTTTTGCTTTTAATATATTGTCTTTTGAATTCTGAAGTACAACACTGTCAGGTGCTATCAGATGATAAAAAGAGGGCTATGTACGATCAATATGGTGAAGCTGGAGTAAAAAGTACTGTAGGTGGAGCGTCAGGTGCTTATACGGTACTGCATCTACTTGCATATTCATTTTTCTAACTAGCAAAGTGGAGAAAAGATGCCTTATCATCAAATAATAAATAAAGTATCTTGTCTATCTATTACATCATCAGGTGACATAGAGTATGTATTTGTGGAGTTTATTTGGCCAGGTAGCATGAAAATGAAGCTTATTTATGAAGTATAGCTACTTCTATGATTTTCATGGCGTACTGTATTTCCAGAGCATACTTGATGTCTTATATTCTCTCACACTGCAGCTGCTTTTATATGTTGGAGCTGTCTTTTATGTTTATTTTTCTGTTCAAGGGATTCACTGGTTGAAGTTATAGAGCTCTGCCTTTTGTTTAGCTGTTGAACATTGCATACATATATGTGAGCGTGTATAGTCATGCTATCATTTTACACTTGAGTTTGCTTGTTGCTAAATATGCTTACTTTTTTTTTTCCTTGTGTGTGTGTTGTCTTAGTGATTTTTTTTTTTTTTTTGAAAATCTTGTTCTTGATCAAGATGAGAAGTAGTGGTATTTGTAATGATAAAATTGTTAACAGCTGGAAATGACAACCTTTGCATGATTTTGAGAGATTTGATATTTTTCACCGAATTTCAAAATTTGGAAATTGGAAAAGAAGGAAAAATATTTTTTTTCTCCTGGTAGTGTACAAAAATTGTTTGATCGACCTATGCTTTATGAGCACTGATGCAACTTTTCTTGGTGGCCCTTACAGTTTATTGCATGGCTTAGATGTTAAATTGACTTCTTCTTTCCCCTGCCTGCAGACTAACCCTTTTGATCTATTTGAGACATTCTTTGGGTCAAGTATGGGTGGTGGTTTTCCTGGGATGGACCAAACTGGATTCAGAACACGCCGGCGTAGTACTGTTACCAAGGGTGAAGATATGAGGTGATTAAAGTCATTGTTTTCATATGTATGTCAGCTGCTTGATTATCAATTTATATTGGCCGATTGCTGCAAAAAGTTTTAACTCTATTTATGTATTTAATATGTAAAAATTCGTTATCCTCAAAGATGGAAAGATAACCACTCATTGCTACTTCATAAGATCATTGATGTAAACATGTCAGATATGCAAATATACCAGTAAAGAGTGGTTTTTGTGGTGGTGTAACTTAAGCTGCTTGTTGATAAAGAAAATTGGATCAACAACCTACTCTTCTTAGAAAGATGTGTTTTTATGTAACAACGGTAACTGCCAGTTACACTTTATATCTTTTTCCTCTGATTGGTTTGGAAATATACTTTTTGTCATGTTGGATAGAGCTGAAATTTGATCCTGGTATTATTTTTATATCTTTTGGATACTTACATTTGACTTGATTCATTTTTTTTTCAGATATGACATTACACTGGGATTCTCTGAGTCTATATTTGGAGCTGAAAAAGAATTTGAGCTTTCTCACTTGGAAACATGTGAAGTTTGTACTGGTACTGGTGCAAAGATTGGTTCCAAGATGAGGATATGTGCAACTTGTGGTGGCAGGGGTCAAGTTATGAGAACTGAGCAAACACCATTTGGCTTATTTTCTCAGGTATTTGGGCAGTTTTTTCTCTTTTACACTTTTTGACTCTTGATTGCTGGATATTCTATGAGGGGGCATATTGAGAAAATTATTTTGGACTTGAGTGATTTTTCTGATAATGCTACCCTTTCAACATTGATACCCTCTATTTGCTTAAGGTGTCGGAAAATGCAGTCATCATGGGGTCATTCCGCTAATATGAGGACTGCTATTTGAGATGGTTTCCTTGATATTGATGGTGTGTTTCACTATGGTGCTGTGATTAGCATGTACTATGGAAAAGAAACTGTTCTCCAGGTCTTATCATGGTTGAATTAGTGTAAGATTAGCATTTATGCTTAACAGATAGCAGGTCTTAGAATATTGTAAAATTCTGAATAGGTTTTACCAAGTTTTACATGTTCGTATATGGTATCATTTATATATTATTCTCCTCTGTTTCCATTACTTGCAGATGCTTTATCTTTTTCTGCCTTCAGCTATGTTTATTATGGTTTGTTCTTATCATAGCCATGTTTTTGCAAATGTTAGGTTTCCGTGTGTCCAAATTGTGGTGGGGAAGGTGAAGTCATTTCTGAATACTGTCGGAAATGCTCTGGTGAAGGACGTATACGTATAAAGAAGAATATTAAAGTCAAAATCCCCCCTGGAGTTAGCACAGGTAGCATTCTCAGGGTTGCTGGGGAGGGTGATGCTGGACCCAGGGGGTATGTGCTTTAGTTTTGCTGTTAGTATCTTTAAGCTTACCTTGTCCATTGGTATAGTTTTGTTACTGATGCAAGGTAGATCTTGACTGTTGATGTTTACTGAGTGAATACGATGTACCTGCTTTATGAACTATATATTCTCTTACAAGTGAAACCGCATTTTTATTATATATATATATACATATATTTTTTTATGTTTTGGACTTTAGATTTCTTTTTACCATGTATTCACCCTCAATAATCACCCACTTATAATGTGCCATCATTATGAAATTTATATGTGTATGAAGTCTGCGGGCATGTGGATATGGGATTTGTGACATCTGCAAGTTTAATCATTGCAGTATGTACTTATGTACTCTGTACTGAAGATGTCATGCTGGTTTAGTGGTCATGGACTGATTGATTCTCTGGTCTGCAGGGGCCCTCCAGGAGATCTTTATGTATATCTTGATGTTGAAGAGATTCCGGGAATCCAAAGAGATGGTATAGATCTTTGCTCAACAATATCTGTCAGTTACATTGATGCCATACTGGGAACTGTTGTTAAGGTAACATTTTATTTTCTTAAAGTCAGTACTCGGTACAAAATTTATTAAGGCTCAAGGCCTTGACTCTTTTGACTTTGTAAGTGATTCTTATATATTTAAAGAAGACAAATAAGTGATTGCTAGTTTTAAATTTTTAAACTTCAAAAGCAGGTCAAACTATCCACTCAATCACTTATTGCTGCACTTAATTGACTTCCGGCGTATTCAATCAGCCGTTCTTGATCGAAGTAGATTGATAAGTATTGCTGCAGTAGGGGATTTGGGACAATATATTGGTGTAATAGTTCAAATAGAGGTTATTGGGATCTGAAACATGGGAAGTTTTAATTGTAATTGAATTAATGCGTCATTAAATTGATATAAATGGTTTATGTAATTATCATTTGGGGCGGGTGGCAGGAATCAACCCTGCTTGTTAGCTTGGAAAGCTAGGAGTTATAGTTGATGTCATTCGTCATTTTAACTCCTTTAATTCAAAATTGAACATGAAACCTTGATTTCATTTGCCTGGGACTCTGTGCTCTTCTGTGAAATTTTCTCCCTTGTACTTGGATTTTTTATTACTTGCAATTTTCCCATTATCATTGCGCTGGTTGTTTTGAATTTATGTAGGTGAAGACAGTCGAAGGGATTACAGATCTACAGATTCCACCAGGCACTCAACCTGGGGACGTGCTAGTCCTGGCAAAGAAAGGCGCACCTAAGCTGAACAAACCTTCTATCCGTGGTGACCACTTATTTATAGTTAAAGTTGCTATACCAAATCGTATAAGGTATGAATAATAACATCTTTAATCATAGCCATAATATGGCTTAACTGTGTTAGTATTTGCTTAAACATCTAAATTTGGTATAGTGTCCCATTTTTTTCTGTAGTTTATGCATTAGTTTTGTTGTCCATACTCCTTAGCCTGGTCTTTGCCCTAATTGCATTATTTGAAGTCAGTTTCCAAGTTCATGATTACTATAGAATAATGAAGTAATTTTGTCATTGTCAGTTTTGATTCCATCACGTGCTCATACTTTTATAGTTATGAATTATTGTAATTTTCTTAATTCCATAAATTTTATATATATTTGTAGTGCCAAAGAGCGTGAGTTGCTTGAAGAACTTTCTGATCTAAGTAAAACCACCAGCAACCGGTCACAAATTCGGCCCAGAACTCAGCCAGCCAGTAAGCAATTGTTTTATCATTTAAAGATGATTCTCATCATATGAATTAATTATACTATAATTTCTTAATTATTCGTAGCTTGAATGACTGTTGCCATATGCTTGTGTTTTTTAAACAAAACGTAATATTTCTTTGTATATGGACTGAAGTCGAAACGGAATTAACATCCCCATTTTTATTGGTTTGAGTGAAGTATTTTCTTCACTGATATGCAAAGTCTGTTGATTTGATTTGAGTATTTAGCTGGGTTAAGTTATTGGAATATTATTTCTGTCTCTTATCCAAAAACAAGTAATGGTAATATGATTTTTGTTTCAGCCACCAAAAGTTCAGAAGAAAGTCAACCGAGTACTGTTGCAGAGAAAAATGAAGAATCAGGACAGAATGACCTATGGAAGAGTTTAAAAGATTTGGCAGGGTAATATCTCATCTCCAGATTTTAGCTCCTAAATACTAATGCAATTGTATGTTGGATCAGTGTTTTAATAACCAACCTGGGGCGAAATCCGGCAAAGTGGCTGGGTCCCGGGTTGACCGGTTTAACCGGTTTGACTGGCAGGTCAAATAGGTGTCCAAAAGTTTGAAATATAACAAAAATACCCCTGAAAATTATATAAGTCCCTACAGGTTTGAAATCTTGCAAAAACACTCAAACGCCACCACGAGCATTGACAAAGAAGGGCAAATAGGGCCTGTTTCCGGTGATGACAACACTCCCCGTCACCACGAAAGCACTCTCCTTAGCCACCTGATCAAAACCCATATCACCCCTCCCCCGATTGCCTTGCCAATTGGGCTGTTGCGGATTTAGTTTTGCGATTTTCGGTCAATTCACTCACTTGAAATCACTTCCGTTGCCGCCATTGCACTCACCAGCTCTTCCTCTTCAAAAACGCCAACATCCCGGCCTTCATTTGTTTGTCAATCACCGTCATAGTTTCTAGGGTTTTTGGTGAATTGGTTCCGGTTGAACCGTTTCAACCGGCCCAGTCAGGCTAGGTTTTAAAACATTGTGTTCAATTACTTTAACCTTTTATCCTGTTACTAACGTTTTGGAACTTTTCTGTTGCAGTACTTGAATTTATGTACATGTGTTTTACATGGTCTTCTTTGTTTCACATTCGTCAATGAATGGATTGTTAAATTTTGCTTTAAGATGCTGGTATGGTTGTTTTTGGATCTTGAATGCATAAATGTAAGAAGAAACTTTTAGAAAAATGAATTCCCATAATCTGTCACATTCATCATGGAAACTTGTACTGTTATAGTTGTTTTACGTTACAAAAAAGAAAAAAAAAAAAATCATTTGCTTCCTTTAGTTATTTATGAAGGAAAAATGTTTTACATTCATATTTTTATGAAGGAAACAAGCGGCAAACCTAGGCCACAGGATTGGAGCATGGCTCATGCTTTGAAACAGAATCTTTGCCATCTGCAGCATGGCAAAGCTGGATGCCATGGTCTGTGGTTTGTCTTTTGATTTACCAAGTTCTGTTTCATGCAATAATCTTAGTGGCAGTAAATTCTATGAGGTCTTGTTTTTCTCTTGACTGTTTATTATGTGGGTTCTTATGGTGTTTGATTATTCAGATCCCTTCGTTTTGTCTTTGCTTGTGATCATTATTGAATTCATGTAATCTTGGATAAATAAATTTGCTCACAATTATTTACTCCATTTAGCTATTTTTTTTTAATTGTGTGGTGAGATATCAGCTATTGGCAAGAATAAATTCTCTGAGGTGTTAATATCTTCTGACCTATCTTAAGGCTCTTAAACTCTATCATGAGAGTTCATCATGCAAACAACAGTACTTGAGATACTGAACCTTATTCTGATAATTTATTGAATGTTTTGAAACATTTATAGAAATTATGAACTACATTTGCAAAACCTTGCTATTTGATTTAGTATGTCATGTTTTTCGTTGTTGGAAAAATGTCAACTTTCATATAATATTTCCCTTGTGGTCTTATTTTCAATCTAGTTTCTTGTCTATTGATGAATCATTGTATATCAATTGCCTTGATTTTCTTTGTAATCTTCTTAAATTGACCTGACCAAAGCAGAAAAAAAAAATGTGGATTTGCAGGTCTGTTGCAAATGGAGCTATGAAATGGCTCAAAGACAACCTCTAGCCTGTTTTTCACTAGGTGAATTCTACACTCACTGATACATGCCTTCTTGTGCCATTTTTGACATGGATAATTTTCTCGAGGGACCGCACAATCATCTACTGAGACTGCTTTAGCTGAAATTTATCAGCATTGCCGTGGAGAAATGAAGTTACACAGTACTGGATATTCTTTTATTTATCCTCTCCTTTGTAAATTTTAGTATTTGAAATATGAAATAAAGATTATTGTTTATCGATTTTTCATTGTATGAGCAGGCCAAGTGTGGCAACAGCTGTTACACATGACGATCGTTTGAAGAGTGTACATTTACATTGTTTATTGAAGTTCAAGATAATTCTCTTTCTTTTATCATGGCCCCATTTCTCAAATTGAGAAAAATAATACTGCCAGTGACAATTGAGAAACTTGAAAATACCAACTCTATTAGGTTAACATGGAGACATTTTTGGAATTACTATTAGAGAATTTTTTTTCTGTTCACAGAATTGGTTTTCCTTCCTAAAATCCAATGCAAGAAATCTTTTAGCTGCCGTATGTCTAATGTTTCCACATGGTAGCATCACAAATTGTATCTCAATCCAGTGGTTTAAAGTTTGGCTCGACCTGGCCGGTTGAATCGGGACTCGAGGCTTTCACCGGACTGGTTACCAATTTTACTATTAATTGAATATCTTAAAAATTAGGACGATAATCAACGAACAATTGAAGGTTGAGATGCTGGGGTTTTTGAAGAGGTAGGATAGGTGAGTGCAATGGTGGCAACCGAGGAGGGGTGAGATGGGTTTTGGTCATGAGATTTATAGGAGTGTTTTTGTGGTGATGGAGAGTGCTGTCGTCGTTGAAAACATACCCTATTTGCCTTGGTTTGTTGACGTCAACAACGGTGTTTGAGGTGTTTTTGCAAAATGTCAAACCTGTAGGGACTTGTACAATTTTAGGGGTGTCTTTGTTGGATTTCAAAATTTTAGACACTGGTTTGACCAGTCGGTCAAACCGATCAACTCGAGACCCAACCATTTTGCCGGGTTTCACCCCAGGTTGGTTATTAAACACTCTCAATCAATATAAAAATCCCTTCTGAATGAATTCCTCTTGATGCATTTACAATCAATGTTCTACGCAATTTTCAATTTCTATATCAAGATGGGGAACGATCTTTAACAACATATGCACGATTTTGAACAATAGCTACATGATACAATGTATAAGCCATGCTTTCAGCTTCTTTATTGTTCTAAACGACTCTGCTTGATCAAAATCCAGACAGCTATAATACATGGAGTTGAAACCATAATGAGAGCCTGGATGATGTTGGGTCTGGTAATGTCTGGGAATAGGATGCTTCCATATTTTATAACAGCTGCACCCACAAAAGAACCAGCTCCTATTTTCCACAAATAGTTGACATCTTCCTGTTTTCACCAAAGAAAGAAATGCCATTATAAGAAGATGGACAATACTACACTTATAATCAAATTTTACAAACTTTCTCTCACAACCTCGACGTGGCAGCTCACAATTGGTCAGTTCGCAAATAAGTTCCGCCTGCTTGCAATTGGTTTTGTTTACCCAATTGCGAGCTGCAACATCGGGATTGTGAGAGAAAATTTGTAAGATTAGGTTATGAACCAATCTTTATTGTAAGAAGATGTATTCATATGTGCAACTTGAGCAAATTTATTTGAGTATGCGGCACACAAAAAGTGCATTATCAAGTCCTCTGTCGTCACTCATCCGGTGTTCATGATAATGGAGTCAACCTATACAAATTGCTTGTTCGGCTAGTTAGTTAACTGCTAAGAATCTAGGTCTTCAAATATGTCAAAGATTAAACAGTTTTACAAAGTCAAGCAAAACATACTATCATCTTCTTCGGAGACCGGAGTCATATGTTTAGAGACAAAATAAGTATTCATTCCAACGAATGCTGCTAGCCCCCTCATTCTGTTTAACACCAAGATGTTTTTCATAGACAAAGATACAGAAAATGTGTTGCAAATCTATCCAACTTCAAGCAAAAAAAGGATGACAACAACATTATTACATAAAAAAACACTACAAAATCCGACTTGTCTGTGATGATCACCATGATTTTGAAGACAGTAACAGAATGAATGACAAACATCAAAACATGAGTAAATAAAACATAAATTTTATAACTGCGCCAAAAGTTACATTTGGGTCAAACCATTTGATATTTTTACATTGGTTCAAAGGGTTTAAAGAAACTTCAGAAAGGATAATTGACCATGGTGGTTTAAGTATCTAAAATCTCCATTCAACCAAGTATCTAAAATCTCCATTCAACCAACTAAAACATAACAGGAAAAGCCTTCCCCAAACTCTTCAGATGCTTCACATTACCTCCCTAATCCTAAACCAGCCGAAAAGCTCTTGTATTCTAGCTGATATGCCGACATATAGCCCTAGAACCTAACTTATGAACAATTACCTTCAGCAACTGCTAAAGCTATCAGGAAAGCAAATGACAACATGTAGAAGACTGGTGAGACCAATTGCAGTTAGAGAAATATTAGCCGCACCCATCTTGCTAATTACATACTATTACTAATTTACAATGATTTTATTTTATTTTTCCATGAACTTATAACGAAGAATGTGTTGATTTTGGGTTAGAATTACACGAATTATGAAGAAAAAATCATTTTTTTTTTTTTAAATTTTAGTAGTATGCAAATAGCTGAACCGTAGATAAAATTATGATACTGCATGCTATAAATTCAAGGATGAAGATCACTGTTCATTTGAAAGGCAATATATAGAGTGAAACCCTCATCAAAATAAGTAGAGAATTGAACTTGAAAGTGAACGGACCTGAGAGGACGAATCTTGGTCTTGTGGTTGGGAATTGTTGGAGGCTAGAACTGTGAATGGACGTTGTAGGCTTGACACTGGAGAGTGATTTGTGAAGTTAACGAGGAATTTAGTGGAACCCATGTGCTTCTTCGTTGGGTTTAAACGGCGGTGGGTTGCGGCGTTGGAGGTGTGCCTGAGCTTCGGTGCTCCGCCGGATGCGGTGGCTGAAGTAGCCATTTGTGTCAGAGCTGGAGTGGCTATCATTGTCATTGCAATCATTTTATGGTCACTTTAAAATCTGGGAATTTTGGAAAAATCGAAACTGGCAATTTTAGAGGTGCCCAAATATGTCACTTTTTATTTTTATTTTCTGTTTATATCAAAAAAATAATACATGACCATGATGGACCCTTGGACCACCGTCAACGGCTGAGAATAGACGCGAGCTTATCGGGAATATATCGTTTTCCCCCTCAAGGATTAAGAAACATGACAAATGCATCCAAGGGTTTTGAAAATGAGTAATACTACACTTACAAAGAAATTTTACAAAGATCTCCATACAAAGTAACGTGATAAAAAATGAATGGAAAAGTGAATTTAATGAGTTTGACTTTTTCATTCATTTTTTGTCACCTCACTTTGTATGAAAATCTTTATAAAATTTCTTTGTAAGTATAGTATTATTGTTTGAAAAGTAACAAACACACACACAAATACTTTCTAGATGCTAATTGATACAAAGAAATTTTAGCTTTTCTCTTATTACACTTCTCTCATCAAATATATATTTAGTTACTTTTCATATTAAATATATAAAATGGTCAAAATATAACCCAAAACTCAGTTAACTAATCCTTCCCCTGTTTGATACACTTTTCAAATCTCTATTCTGTTATCTTATCCTATTGTAAAGAGTAAAAACGTGTTTGTTTTAATATTCATGGAATTTAATTCAAAATCCAATTCTATTCTATTTAACTCAAAACATATAATTACATTTCACAATAAAAGTTTAATTAACAACCCTTACCCACCCAAGCCATTGTTGGTCACCAACAACTATCGTTGGCTGTTAGCCGTCATTCGAATGACGCACGATATACCGGATCTGGTCAATCGTGTGCCGATCTGACCATTTTTTGCTAGATTTATGGTCAAAGATTTGGCCGTTGAAGGCGACTATATCTTGGCCATTAATGACGACCATATTTTAGCCATTAACAATTGCTAGATTTTGGCCGTATATCTGGTCGTTTTCGGCTAGTTACAGGTGTATCTAGTCAAAAAAGGCCAAATCGATGGACAACTGGTCAAATCCAACCGGTCGTGTGCCATTCCGAGAATTGGGTGGGTAGAGGTATTTTTGTTTGTTTATAAACTTTTATTTGGGGGGGTGTTAGTTAAGTTAACAAATATAAGGGGTTAAAATTGATCTAAATATTTTTAGAAAATATTTTCAAAAAATGTACCAAACACATTCTCAGAATCATATCATATTTGATTTAATCATATCATATCCATCCTATTTATAATAGCTTAAACTTTCTCCACCTAATACAAAATTAAGGGTGCTAGTTTGGGATGACTATTAAACTTTCGAAAGAATGAAAATCAAGCAGAGCTCAAACAGGTCTCATTGTAAGCATTTAAAATCAATCTTCCACTCCCCTGTAACATTAATTATTATCAAGTACAACATTTGAAATGAAGCATAAAAGAACTTTAATTTATTGAACATCAATTACCAATCACCTGGTTTCTTGTTTCATTGCATACGTGGGAAAACCAAATTAGCCTCATCTGAAAACGTAATGGAAATTTCTTCTGAGGATGTAAAAACAGTAAAACATATACATGGGCCAGTCCTGTCCTGTTTCCTTGTTGTATCGTTCACTTAGAATAGGACTTTCTCTAAAGCTCAATCTCTTTGAGTGTTGTCCTCTGCAGAAGACTGTCTAGCGGTGCCTTTAACTTGGGGCAGCGTACAATACTCAAGCTAGCAAGAAATGGCATGAATCCCTCTCCCTTGCAATCCCACTCTTCCCAAAAATTGAATTCTTTCAACTTGGGAAAGTGAACAGACAATGAAGATGATGATGAGGTCTCACTGTGTATTCCCCAAAAATCATTATCCACTTTTTTCAATTCCTCTCATTTCTATAAATAGATGATCATGAGGCATATTGCTCTTAGATAACAACTTCTTACTATTATTATTATTATTATTATTTTATCATTTCTATGATAAATGTTTGAAAGTGCACTTATACTTAGTGGTTTTTTAGGAGTATTTGTGAGAAATTATGATTAATTTGCATGAATTAAATTAATTGTTTTGTAAATACATTTTTCGGGATCACATATTTTTTTGTTGTGTTTTCAGGGTATTATTACTTAAAAATAATATTCAGATGAGAGATGA